CTAGATGATAACAGTGAAAGAGTTTTTCTTTTTCTTTTCAAAGAGAAGAGTGAATTGGGGGTTAAGGGGTGGGCAGGGAGAAAAGTGCAACAATGAATGACTGGAAACCCTAAGCCTCTATAAGCTTCCATTTAAATGAATTTTTAAAAAAGTAAAAAAAAAAACTATCTCAGGAACAGGTTTGAGGCCTTGAACACTAATGAAGAAAGATCAGATAATCTGTGGAAAGATATTAAGAATTATCCAAGAAGAATGCAAAATGTCATTACAAAGAGAGAGGAGGAAGAAAAGACTGAGATGGATGTCAGAAGAGACTCTGAATATTACACTAAAACTTCAAGAAGCCAAAGCAAAGAGAAGAAATCGGGAAGTTAAGGAGCTCAACAGATGATTTCAAAGGCCATCTCAGGAAGACCAAAACAGAGTGTAATAAGATGTGCAAGGAACTAGAGTCAGATAATCAAAATGGATGAGGTCACTCAGCTGAAGAAAATAATGAACAAATTCAACTTCAAGTTGCAATACTTAAGGATGCTATGGGAAGAGTACTGAATTAACCAGGAAGCATCAAAAGTTGATGAAAGGAATACCTAAAGTCACTGTATCAGAAAGAACTGGCTGACACAGAAGAATTTAATGAAACAACATTATGGCCAAGAGGTAATAGTGATGAAAGAGAAAGCTCAAGCTGCTCTGAAGGAGCTGGCCAAAAGCAAAACCCCAGGAATTGATGGCATACCAATTGGTGTATTTCAATAAACAGATGCTGCCCTGGACGTGCTCACTAAGTTGTGCGATGAAATCTGGAGGACAGTTACCTGACTGGAAGAGATTCATCTTTATTCCCATTCCAAAAAAAAAAAAAGTTGATGTGACAGAGTGTGGAAATTATTTAACAATATACAGATATCACATGCAAGCAAAATCTTACTGAAGATTATAAAAAAAAACAATTAAGACTACTTTCTCATTGACAGAGAACTGCCAGAAGTAGAAGCTGCATTTAGAAGAGGCTGCGGCACTAGGGACATCATAGCCAATACCAGATGAAGGCAGAGTGTTTCAGTGAACGCCTATCTTATGTGTGGATTACAACATATTATGGCTAATATTGAGAAGAATGGAAATCCCAGAACACTTAATTGTACTCATGTGAAATCTATACTTGGACCAGGAAGGAGTTGTTAGGATAGAGTAGGAAAACATTGCATGGTTTGAAATTGAAAAAGGAATGCATCAGATTGATCAAACTCACTATTATGGAGTCAAAACCAACTCAGAGCTGATCTTCCAGTGGGTTTTTAGAAGCTGTAAGTTGCACAAAAGGAGACAGTCCACTTTTGTCTTTGGGAGCTACTGTTAGATTTGAAGCCACTGGTAGTCATTGCCTCTGGGTTAGCAGTGCAACTCTATATTGCTACAATAGGAGGGAAAGTCATACTGATTAGGAATTCTTTTAAAGTAGAAAAATTTCTATTAGTACCATAGAACATAGAGGATCAATATTTTATCCACATGATGTTGGAGAATTTTCTTGCTCTGAGTTTCAACTATCAACATTGCTTATTATAATCAGTACAAATTAGGAATTTAAAGCTGCAATATTTGACCTTGGATATGTATGGTGTTTGTATAAATTTTTATGAACATAACCTAAGACTACAGAAATAAATAATAAAATTGTATTTTAGATTATATAAGTAATTATAATTTGCATTTGAGAGAAAATTCTACTTACAATGATTATTATGTCTTGTCAATAGATTTTTTCTAATTCCTCTTCTTATTTTACTTTGACTCTTCTCTTCTGAGAGACTTTTTCTTTTATCTATTCTTTTGCTCAACTCATTTTGTTCCAAAATATAGGCTAACAATTGCTTGATTTCTTTTACTAAAACCTACAAAAAATAATTTTTCTCATAAGTAGCTTATAAAAAGAAAGAGAACACTTAAAATATTTATTTATAGCAAAAATACTTAATTTAATGAAATAAATCTGCTTTTAAAAATAAAAATGACAGATAATCACTTTCTCTTTAAGAACTCATATTGAGGAGTTATCTAAACTTATCACATTGTCATATTAACTGCAAAATCTAGCACTAAAATCTAAGTGTCATAAATAAAATAGCAGGCAAATTTAACAAATTAATTCTTTCAATAGTAAGTTGTAATCGTTAATATCAGCTTTGTTAGTGAAACAAAAAAAGATTTGTATTGCTTTATGTGTTATGTCAAATTAATAATAATGGGTTAAAAGCATAGATAAACCTTTGGCTGGAAAAAAAAAGCATTCTTCACCAACATGCTTGTCTAAGTAGGAGAAAATGGGAGATGAGGGCACAGAGTGTCTCTCTGAAAGGGACAGGGGGAGTCAGCCCCTCACCACCCCGGAGCTAAAAGCAGATAGAATCCATAGCCCTTTACCTGGTACCTCTAGAACTACACCAGCAGTAAGGGGGTTCATTTCTTCATTGTTGTCTCACAGATTCACAGCTGTTTTACTGAGAATGCAGTTTATTATGGAAGTAAGTTGGAGAGTGGGGGAGCCGAAGAATATCACCCAATACAAGTCTAGGTTTTAGCTCAAATTCCAAGGCGCAGTTCCTCAATTAGTCCAGGCTCTGGTTTCAATTCAGCATTCAAATCCAAATAATTCATCAAGGTTTGTCTCAAAGCAGCTACAAGTCAGCTTCTCCTTCAAGCATCCAGCTCAAATTCAAGAAGCCTCACATCACACCTTGTCACAGTTTCTCCACAGCAACGCCACAGTCTCTTTCTTCACCACAATCATGAAGGTCTCACTCTCCAGTCTTCCTCAAATCTTGCTGTCATAAGTCTTGCTGTCCTCAAGGCTTGCTTCCCAGTGTGTGAAGTGCTTTTTCTCTTATCCTAGTCCCACAGCTGTTAATAATTTTCAAGACCGTGTGTCTTCAATTACAGTAGCTGGAGATCAGGGAGGAGTTAACTGTAAGGGCTAAAAAAAAAGGCCAGCTTTTCCACTAACACCACATTGTTTTTCAGAAGTCATATAATTAATTTGTACTAATTACAGTGAGGGGATTAAGGGTTTCCTTTGAAGTATAAAATAATGTAGATTTTTTTAAAAAATAAGAAGAATTTTAGGAAAGTAAATAGTCATGATTTACATATGTTTATCCAGCAGTCAGGAAATAAGGAGACACACTGAATTTAGAAAATATTCAGTTAGGGAGCTCTCCAAATTACTGAGGAGTAAAGATGTCAGTTTGAGGACTAACGTGCATCTGATTCAGGCTATGGTCTTTATGATTATTTGCAATGCATCTAAGAGCTGGACAATGAATAAGGATCACAGAAAAAGAACTGATTCCTTTGAGCTGTAGTGTTGGAGGAGAACACTGAACATCCTATGGATGGCCAGGAGAACAAACAATTATGTCTTGGAGAGGGTGCAGCCAGAGTGCTCTTTGGAGGCAGGAATGATGAGGCTTCACTTCACATACTTTGGGCATGTTGCAAGGAGGGGATATTCCTTGGAGAGGGACATGATGCTGGGAAGTGTGTAGGGTTAGTGAAAGAGAGGAAGACCTTTAACTAGGTGGATTGACATGGTTGCTGCTGGAATGAGCTCTTGTGTGTCAGGAAGTGTGAGGATGGGGCAGGATAGATCTGAGTAAATATGTTATGTATCTATGTATGTATATATGTGTGAGTGTATACACACACACACACACACAATATTTTGTTCATAGGGTTGCTATGAGTTGTACTCAACAGTACCTGACAATAACCAATATTCAGGGTAAAATTATATCAGGAGATCAACTATCAATTACAAGGCAAGTCAGAGGGTTTTGTTGTTGTGAGGAGAGTGTTTAATTTTTTTCTTTATTATCTTTACCAAGGTCAATTTTTAGAATGCATATAAAGCCTTCCTTGGATTAAAAAATAACAAAAACTCATTTTTAATGAATCAACCCTAACTTATGGTGACCCAATATGTTACTGAGTAGAACACTTCATAGGTTGTTCAAAGTTGTGACATTTCGAAAACAGATTGCCAGGCCTCTCTTGGAAGTTATCTTTGGCTTGTTCCAAACTGCCAAACCTTCAGGATGTAATCAAGTGCCATCCAGGAATGCCTTCCCTGAATCAACAAAAACCAACTTCCTGTGATCAAGTTGGAGTTGACTCCTAAGGTAGTCCTCCTTTGGGTTTCTGAAGCTGTAAGCTGCATATGAGGAGACTGCCCTTTTTCCCAGCAGAGCTACTGGTGGGTTTCAGTTAGCAGCACAAGTGCCTAAGGAATATGCCACAGAGATCCCTTAATGTTGTGGTGGTTGTTGTTGTTAGGTGCCGTCAAGTACGACCCTATGTACAAAAGATCTGAACCCTATTTCATGCTGTTGCCATCCTCACAATTCTGGCCACTCAAGAGCCCATTGCAGCAGTCACCATATCAAGCCACCTGGGTGAGGATCTGCCTCTTCTTCACAGACCTCCCCCATCATGTCCTTCTCCAAAGAATAGGAAATAAAAAATATTTCTTATCCATTCATCTATTACTTGGCATATTTACTGAATGCTTACTCCCGAGTCTTAGCAATCACTTGCTATGTATTTGAGAGCAGGACAATGAATAAGGATGATAGAAGAAGACTCAGTGCCTTTGAGTTGTGTTGTTGAAGAGTACTGAATGTCCCATGGTCTGTCAAAATACCGAAGATGTGTCTTGTAGAAAGTGCAAGCAGAGTGCTTGTTAGGTGCAAGGATGGTGAAGTTTTGTCTCACACACTTTGGGCAATTTCCTGGAAAGGACATCATGCTTGGAAAGGTGGAGAATCAACAAGAAGACTCTTGTTAAGATGTATTGACATAGTGACTGCAACAATGAGATTAACTATGTGAGAGATGAGGAGGGTGGTACAGTCTAAGACAGGGGCTCAGAGCTGTTGTTAATAGGATCGTTATGAGTAATACATATGACTAAAAGTCATCTAACAGCAACAACACATCATCATCATCATCAACAAAAACAACAGTATATTTCGTTTTCTTCACCAACATCACAATTGAAAAGAATTCTTCTGCCACCTTTTATATTCCTTGTCCAACTTTCACATGCATATTGTCGTTTGTTGTTGTGGTTATGTGCCACCAGTCATTTGTGACTCATAATGACCCTATGTACACGAACCCTAAACCCTGCTCTATTGTGTGCCAACCTCACCATCTCAGACACATTCACTCCCACCACCCCAATGACAGAATCGATCCATCTCATCACGAGTCTTCCTCTCCTGTGCCATCCCTCCGCTCTATCAAACATGATGTCTCTCTTCAAGGACCAGTCCCTCCTTGAAACATGCCCAAAGAATATCAGATAAAGCTTCAGAATCCTTGACTCCAAGGAGCCTTCTGGCTTCACCCTCTACAGGACAAACCTGTTTGTTCTCCTAGCAGTCCATGGTATATTCAACACTCTTCTCCAGCACCACAGCTCAAAGGCAGCAAATCTCTATCATCCCTAGTCACTGTCCAACTCTCTTATGTATAGCATGTAATTGCGAAGACTATAGCCTGGATCAGGTGCACCTTAATCTCCAGCCTGACGCTGTTGCTCTTTAGTACTCTGGAAAGGTCGCTGATAGCTAACTTTCCCAATGCAGTTCATCTCCTGATTTCTTGGCTGCTGATACTAAGAGGGTTGACTGTGGAGCCAAGCAAACTAAAACTGTTAACTATCTCTATCTCTTCACCATCCATACTGATGCTGTCAATTGGTCCAGTGGTGAGAATCTTTGTTTTCTTGATGTTGAGCTTCAATCAGTATTGAAGGCTGCAGTCCCTGACCTTCTGCAGCAAGCGCTTCAGGTCCTTCTCGGTTTCAGCAAGCAGGGTTGTGTCATCTGCATAACGCAGGTTGTTGATGATTCTTCTACCAACTGATGCCACCTTCCTCCTCATACAGCCCAGTGTCTCGGGTGATCTATTCTGCATACAGATTGAAAAAGTATGGAGACAAGATACATACCTGATGGACCCCCCCTTGATTTTGAACCATGTAGTGTCTCCTTGCTCTGTTCTGACAACTGCCTCTTGGTCCAAGTATAGGTTTTGCAATGTTCTGGGATTCCCATTCTTCTCAGAGTCATCCACAGCTTGTTGTGATCCACACAGTTAAAAGCCTTTGCATAGTCAGTGAAGCACAGATAGACATTCTTCTGGTACTCTCTGCTTTCTGCCAAGATCCATCTAACATTAGCTATAATATCGCTAGTACCATGACCTCTTCTAAATTCACCCTGCTCATCTGGCAGTTCTCTGTTGACATATTGCTCCAATCATTTTTGGATGATTTTCAGCAGAATCTTGCTTGCATGTGTTATTAATGATACTGTTCGATAATTTCTGCACTCATTTGGGTCACCTTTCTTTGTAATGGGAACAAATATTGATCTTTTCCAGTCAGTTGGCCAGCAAGCTGTTGTCCAGATTTCTGGGCACAACTTTGTGAGCACATCTGTTTGTGAGTGTCTGTTTGTTGAAATATGTCAACTGGTATGCTGTCAGCTTGTGGAGCCTTGTTTTTTGCCAGTTCTTTCAGAGCAACTTGAATTTCCTCCTTCATCACCACAGGCTCTTGCTCATATGTTATTTCATAAAAGTCTTCTGTGTCAGCAATTCCTTCTGATACAGTGACTCTGTACTCCTTCGATCTTCTTTTAATGCTTCTTGGATCATTTATCATTCTACTCAAAGTATTCTTAAGTATTGCCACTCGTGGCTTCATTTTGTTTTTCAACTCCTTCAGCTTAAAAAATGCTGAGCGAGTTCGGCCCTTTTGATTTTCTGACTTAGTTCTCTGCACATTTTATTATAGTATCTTGCTTTGTTGTCCCGGGATGCCTTTTGA